TAATGAGTTCTTGCCGTTTGTATCAGAGTGCGAGCTACAGTAAGGGCGACGTGCACAATGGCAATTTTGACTTATGTGACACGATGAGACTCTAGTGAGACTCATTCGTCTTACTTACACTACTGACACATAGCGTGAGCTAGGCTCCGCACGGTGGAACCTCGGTGAGTTGAGCGCAGTTATTGCTGGGTTCTTCGGGGGTTTCGGGACACGACGTCGGAAACGCTAGAGTGGGGAAGGCGCTTGATCGGGTAGGTGACAAATTGAAAGCTTCGAGCCATTTTCAGGCCTCTGAAGAAGACGAGAAGGTCGAAACGTCGGGCCAATAAAAGGTTCTATCTAAAAACCTCGTTTGGCAGAAATAACTAAACATTCGATGAGGACTGTATACTAGGTCACGGTATCGTATAGGTTCCGGTTCCAGAGGAATCATTCCGGATGACATGCTGAATTGAAGTCATGTCAGTCATCCGAATCAATGTGCGCTGACAGGGTACAGCATGGGGATGTGCGAAATGGCGGTGTGAGTACCCCCCCTCGAAGAGGGTCCAGTTACGACCCCCCCCCTCCTGCTCTAACTGACAACCAGATGCATGTTCACACAAATGGCTTCCTGAAATGGAATCTGGATTTTCGAAAGGCGGACTCTGCTCTAAAATCCAGGCAATAAGAGGCTGTTTCAGCCTCATGCAATATGAGGCTGAACAACAGCCTCGCATTGCCTACAATTTTGTCTTAGGATTAAAAAAACCCGTCGTTCGACAACCATGTATGACATGCAACTTGTAACAAGGAACACAATCGAAACAGCGACTAATGGTGATCATTGATAAGCTAAATTGGTGAAAAAATAGCCCCAAGGTCAGCGTGTCAGGCCCCAGATGTGCATTCAATGAATGGTGACGGGGAAATCATGAAAACACGACACAACAAAGCGAAACATGAAAAATACAAAAAATGCGGAGCCAAATGAAAAAAATGGATAACCAGGCGGCAGTATATCGTTCTATACTTGGCTATTATCGATCGCAACGTTGCGACCGCTTTCATTGGAAAAACGTCATTGGAGCGCGGTTGTTGGACCTGCCAACGTCCTGGGGTCTTTTCGGGGGTTATATCTCTTTTAGGTGCGCGGCTTTTGAGGAATGGTTAGCAGCATGCAAAGGCAATGTTCCTACTGTTGCGTTTTCTACCTAGTTGCAACCTGAATAATTCCCCGTTCGTGAAATATTTCGGATGGGTTTCGGATAGGCTAGGGGTAAATCGCAAGCGGGTATTTATGCTTCACTCGAGGATAACTTATTTCGAACGCAATTTCATCAGGACCAAAGGCGCCTTCAGAGTGCCCTATTTTCTCTTTCCGACAAGCTTTACAGTTTTCCTGAAGACCCGCTAGTTCAGGAGATATTTTAGGATGGGTCACAGACGCGCTACCCTGCTCAGGACCCTACTCGATCGAAAAATCGAGCTGCCTTCCTGTTGCTATTGTGAGAATAGTCCTTCAGAAACATCAGTGTGCCTTCAAAACACATATTTCCCTTCAAATGAGTGAAAGAGGAGCTCGGCTATCACTGATCGATTTGGTCCGAGTGTGCGCCGTGCATTACGCTCCTACGCATAGGTGGTGGGAAGGTGCAAATTCTGATTTCAGGTGCTTTTGTCCATGCAAGCAGATGTTTGTTTAGGGCTTGGAAAGGACAATAAGCATGAATCTGTTTGAGACGTATTATTTGGTCATCTAGGTACTTACGAGTTCATGCTATTAATTGGTATTTATTTATTTATTTATTTATTCTTGCTATTCTTGCTATATTGCTAATCAATTTTTTATTATTTTGTAGTCCTCCTTACATCCGGGTCTTCTGCAGCTTTCCGTCCGTTCCATCAAACTTAGCAATGACACTTTTGTACTGTTTGATGCCTAGCGAGCCTACTTTTGCGATACTCCCCACGTCCCCCGCGGCCAAGTACGAACCCCTTTTGGGGATTTCGCATGAAAAGGGCTGTTAAACGTAGCAGTTAAATCTGTAAAGAATACACTCATAATAATTTTCATTTTTTAACATCTTGACTTCCATAGCTCCACTCCCACTATCAACTGAAATGTCGAAGCATTGCCCGGCTCTGAGTGACCCTTGAGATTACGACCCCCCCCCTCCCCAGCGGCCAAGTACGACCCCCTTTATGGGTTTCGCACAACGATGCTGTACCCTGTGCGCTGACCCTTGGTGCGGGAGCGTCCCAGAACACTTGTGAACCACGGAGCCTCTCTTCTCTTTCCTTTTTTTTCCTCCTCCCTCCTTTCCTTCCTTCCTTCTCTGATCCTCTCCTCCTTTACTTTCTCCCTTCAACTACTGAAGTAATGAATGCCACGAGAAAATATTCCTGGATCCTCGCAGCGAGAGCACCTTCGATTGACAAATGCCCTGTGACCATGGGGGAGAATATACAGTTGCCCCATGTATTCGTCTTCACAATAGGCGAGAATGAGGAGCCACAATAGATTCCTGTCTCCGCCCATCGCGTCGTTCATCGCGGAGTGTGCCTTTAGCTTTGCGCATGCTGCGGTGACCTTTGGAGTACCACTATAATCGGTTCAAATGATGTTTTCCAGAGAAGTTCGGTCGATTCACATCTCTGTAATAATCCGGTAGGTAATTGGGGTGCACAAAGCTTGACTTCATGATCACCTCCACTTCTTGCGTGGTCACCAGAAGACTGTCTGATAAGAAATTTACGGAGAAATGCGGATAGAACTACGAAATTTTTTCTATTTAGTGTTGCGATAGCTGAATTGCCCAAGTTTATTGAAAAACTGTACCAAGCGAGGCTTTCCTCACTAGAAGATTCTTCGTTGAAATGTCAAGGCCAACATCTTCCATCATTGCAGGCTTCACCAGCGAGACAAGGCAGCTCAATGGAGCTGAGCCAACAACCAGCCAAAATACCCACGCTAAATCCAAGTCGACGACCGAAGATTCCAGTTTGCATACAGCCGTTGAAAAAGCCCAAAATTTATGGCTCCCCAGTTAGTCGACTGAAACGACCTGCTCGACCCTTCTCTTTGTTCGTGTTCACATTTTTCGCCTCATTCTCTGCTGGAGTAATCTCTGCCGTTCAGACTGCCCGATACATCGAACAATACTGCCTTAAATATCACCGTTCTCACTCGTCCACCGGCATAACTCGTGATACCTGCAGAGTACACAAAGATTTCATACGATGGCCATTTTCAAATTAGCCAATTTATTTTGCTGAAAACGGTACGGATGGCAGCGCATGTGCATCTTCAAAACATTCTCTCGTTAACTATTGTAGAATTGTGATAGAAATAAAGTGAGCAATTAGAAGCTGGTTTTCACGTCACGTCTGTATTTGCTTCCCTCGCTTTCTCGGCGGAGGTTAATGGTTCTGGAAAGCAACGAAATTGGAGCTACTAGAGACAGTCGCTAGACTAACTAGGGATGGTCGCCAAGTCGGAGTGGACATTTGTAACGGGACATAGCTTATTAAAAGTGGTTTTGGAAGCTGACTATGCCTTCGAAATTTGCAGAACCATCCTCTGAGCGGAGTCTTGGAGCTTTTTCCTCCAGGCCTACCAAGCAACAGGTCATAGGATCGGATCTCTGCTAAGCTTAGAGGCAATTGGCACGTTAATTTTATGTACACTTTGAAAAAGAGCAAAGGTGCCCAGTAATGCAAAAATAGTGAAAACGGGGCGAAATGGTGGGGAAACCACGAAATGGGGGCTTTATTTCTTCGCTGCACTGCGGCAGTGGACGAGCGAACGGCTGGGGCGGGCGCTGCTTTGGACGAGTCTACCGATTGAACCGTTTACTGCTGGCAAAAAGCCAGCAGTACGTTCTACGTCGCTCTACGTTACACTACATTACACGTAGGCACGGGCGGTCCATACACGTAGGCACGGGCGGTCCACAACGGCACGTCCTCGTGCTGTGATGCTATACGTCCAAGTGGTAGGCGGGCGGGCGAGGTGGGCGTCCGGGTCGGTATGTTGCTGCTCAATAGGGCGCTATAAGGGTACCCTCCTTGGAAAAGGCGCTACGCAGCGCCTGTTCAGGGTCACGGAATTCTGCCATGCCAGTCGTATTAATCCTTTTCGTCTTTAGGGATTTATCGTGCCAACTGCCTTTAATTATTTGATTCCTGTATGATGTGTATGTGTACATCTCATTACACTCCCTATCCCTGAGATGGAGTAGGCGTGGCATTTGGGCGTAGTATGGGATGGATTACTCGCGGGCCATTTCAGCTTGATACGACTGTCACTTGGGTTGAACAAAGGCATTATAACAGCTGTCTGAAAATGAAAATATCTCACCAGAAGCACAGTCACCGCCAAGTTTAGTCGACGTACGCAGCCACGCCTACCCCATCTCAGGGATTACGAGTGTACAAATGGTCACTTCGACCTGGCGACCATCCCTAAGATAGATGCGGTCCATACTTCTGAGATTGGAGGAGGCAGGGTCCACAGAGCTAACGGTGAGCACGATGGCGGTGTGTTTCTGTGTAAGTACAGTCTTGTTTGCTGCAAATCAAAACCATGTTAGGCGGGATGGGGTTAGCGCGGTGCCAGACCCGTTGTCCACCAGATTTTAAAGCAAGTAAAAACTGCATCGTATCGGTCGTATC